CTTGGGTTTGGATGAACACATGCAGAATCTAATGTCTCTGAATCTGATTGAAATAAATAAATCCATGTAGTAGTAAGTAACTAGTCGGATGCCTTATGCCCTTGTTTAGTAAAAGATTTAGTGCTACAATTCTATTTGTCTGACCTAAAGAAGGAGATTCAGGGTCCAAAATTAATTAACCAGAAGTCCTAGTGTTCAATTTCTGTTGATTCCAGTTGGATTCCTGTCGATTCCGGCCAGAATCCTGCGGAATTCCAGGAATCCTACCGGAATTCCAGGATTCCGGCCGGAATCTAGGGATTCCGCGGATTCCAGTAGGAATCAGTGGAGGAATGGAAAGTATTGCAGACAGAGGAAGAAAATTCGAGTCCCGCTCAGATTGAGCCACCATTGCCCACCTCCGTGATTCCGGAGTCTCCAGCTCTTGAGACCACGAGGGGAATCCTCAACAGGGTCAGGAGGGGGAAAGATAGGGATTCCCATCTATTCTCCCATGTTCCACATCTGAAAATGGTGAGCGCATATGAGGAAACATTATCAGAGTCAATCACACGCTGCCATCATCCTTGGAGTCCTCAGCATGATGCCGACCCTCTTACAGGATTCGAAGTGGTGGAAGGAGCCCTTCCAGGTCTCACCAAGATTCAAACCGTTCCGTTCCGAGACCTGGTTATACGATGGACGGAACCGCACCAAAACCTGGTATGGGAATCCTTAGAGGACTACGCTCAGATGCTTTGCACTATAGAACTGGCTCAGAACGATGTGCAATTAAACCCCTTAGATGGGAGTTCTTACTACTCCCTCCGCTATACATTCCTGATGCACACCTACGAAGTCACACTCGGTATCTTGCAGATCATCCAGGCTATCGATCACTTAATGGCGCGATCACATCATCATTCTTTCAGCATTGATAAGGGCTTCGTCATCCTCAAACAACTCGCTATGGGAGACGACGACAATCATATCCAACTCTCGTTTTACACCTTACAGACTCGGTGTAAAGGTGCAGTGAACCATATTCGACAAGCATTTAATGATTTAAAAACGACATTCAGCCAGTATAATAACACTTTGACTAATTACTCCTATAACTCTACACTATCGGACATCCGCTCAAACTATCACTAGTGGTATACACTCTTATGATAAAAACCAGACACATGCCTGGAAGGCGATGTGTATAATGCCTAGAGGTTCAATGAGACAACTCATTATTTTGTCTAGTATTTTCATTCATTAAGTTCCCTGTGTATTTCATTTTGTTTTTTCATTAAATGGCCTAGGTGATCTCATTAATATTGTATTGCGATTTCCTGCAATATTTCATTCATTATCTCTGGATATCTCATTTTGCTTTTCATCTGAAAGCCTGGCGCTTTCAATGAATATTTCATTATTAGCTCCAGGACATTTCATTGGAGTTTTCATATATATATCTGGCGGTTTCATTGGATATTTCATTGTTAGCCCCAGGATATTTCATTGTGCTTTTCATCTGAATGCCTGGCGGTTTCAATGGATATTTCATTCTTGTTCCTAGGATATTTCATTGGACTTTTCATAGATATATCTGGTGCTTTCATTGGATATTTCATTGCTAGCCCCAGGATATCTCATTGCGCTTCTCATTTGGATGCCTGGTGCTTTCAATGGATATTTCATTCTTATTCCTAGGAGATTTCATTGCACTTTTCATATGTGTACCTGGCGCTTTCATTGAATATTTCATTTTTAGTGGCAGCTGACCTTTCAGGGTCCAGGGTGCATTTCCAAAGGTAAAATAGCAATAAAATCAGGAAAAATTAGGGCTCATTGCTGATCATCATGTTGGGTAATATTGTCAGGGTCCAGGGTCCAATTCCAAATATAGTAATATATCCAAAAATAGCCAGAAAATAGCGGAAAAATTGAATATATATAAAAATGGTGTACAGAACATCAGGCACTGCCTTCAGGTTCCATCCCAAAAGGGAAATATCACCTGGTTTGACCAAAAAGTGAAGAAAACCAAGAGGAGAATGATTTTACCTATCAGGGTCCATGTAATGGGATGTTGGGATGATGGTCACATGACCAATTACCAAAAATGGTCAAAAACAAAAGTTGTAGCCCTACACTGTAGCTTCCTGAATCTGTTTGAATTATGTTCTGAAGTGCTCCCATTGTGGAGATATGAGGTAAAGCAATCCCAAAAGTGTCGTGTTTTTTTTTGTTTTTTGCATTTTTCTCCATGAAAACAAAACCAAACAATATGATTTCAGTATATTTAGAAAGCTAAAAGAAACGGCTACAACTATTGTATCGTGGGAAAAATGACCAAAAAAG